AAAAATAAAACTGATGTAATCTTAGAATGAGGTACATCGTGTGATACAGACTAATGATGACAACGTGTACATCAGACGATTTCCAACCGCAACCGCATCAAGTTGCTATGATTTTTGTGATTTGTAGTGAATATCAAGAAAGTTTATAACCGAACCACAGCTTTGACCTTTACTGTAATGACGTCATTTGAAACTGTTTCGTCATATGTGCACCTGCTAGTTTCCTCTCGATCATGCTATTCTGTAATCGGTTGTAATGACGCTATTCTTGTTTATAAAAAATATTCAGCTGGCATAGAAGATCCAAACAGTGGGATTACCAGACAGGAGTTTCGGGAAAAAATAATGAAACTAGTTACGGCAAAGAAATACGACAGCTGCAGTGACGTCATCCATGAAGACATAGCCCGATCAATGGAGTTCTATTATTTGCCATGGGAAGCCCCTAGGGATAAAATACGTCTGAGAGACCAGTACATAAAAGTAAGTCGTCTGTACAAATTTTAAAAAAAAAGTTTAAAGCGGGGAAGTCGTCACCTGCGCATGCGTCAGATGGCCATAGCGTATCATTGTTTAGAGACAAGCGTCTACCCATGAGCCTTTGCGTGTGTTGTTATCGTCGCTTGGGACTCAATTCCCGCGCGTGCGCAAGTGACGATCCCCCCGCTTTAACTTCTTTACCGCGCTTTGGACCTCATTGTGCAACTCATTCAAAGTATGATATATCTATATTATGTGGAATACTAACTCCCATATATTTTTCAACAGAAATCTAAAATCTCTCAATAAAATAGGGTTTACGTTGTTCATGACTATAATTCTGTGGCTATCCATTTTGACTACTGTGAAACACTTTGAAATATCCACATAGCATTTTAGCGAATCTGACTCAATGCAAAAACTAAATCTTAATTAACCTGAAATGCTAATAATCTTACTGTGAGAATATACTTTATTCTAATTAGCGACATATTAAATTAGCGAAATTGAGGATTAGCTAAATTAGCTAAAATAACGTGCTAGCTGAAAAGACATGTTTCAAAGTATATTTCTGAAACAGGTAAGTTATCAGCAGATACCGGTACAACATGAACAATTGTTTTGTTCACATCAGCATTACCATGATCATCGCATTTACGCTATGTAGTTTTGTATCGATGTAAAGTCCATCGCTGTAAAAAAAAAAAAAAAAAAAAAAAAAAAAGGCTAAAAGGCTGCAACTAGGCACTTTTCCGTAAAGAAAAAAATGATCACAAAAATGCCCTTTCTTATAAATACATAGGACATTTCTGAATTCCAAAAATAAGACTAAATTCTTCATTTTCTAGTTGTGCATAACCCTTTTCAGCCATGGTTAAGGCAGGGCATGCAAAGGCAATATGCCTTTCTAAACCATCGGGCATTAATATGAGAAATGACTACTCAAACTGCGTGGCCAGAGACATCACAGGCAAGCAGAATTGATTGAATGAATTTAACAATGAACAAAAAGCTGGTCCCCACTAGTTTCCCATTTACATCTACATCAAATGATTGTAACCATTTAAATGGGAGATCATCATTCAACAAATTATTCAAAGGATGCAACACTGTATCAGAAAACGACCGTAATTTACTAACCCTAATCATGATCTCAACTCAGTAATATTTTGAGGACGTGGAGAATCATTTATAGCTTTATATTTATTTTAGGTTGCGTTCAATCTATCTTTATTTGTAGTATAAGCCAGATATGTAATAGGAGGCTTCATTAATTCACAATTCGGATTCTTTAACACCTCATCTGCAAAAAGTGACATTTTACTACATCACCCAAGGCATCTACTTGTACTTGTACCATAAAATACGTCACCAATCAAGTTTCAAATTATCACTAAATAATGATGGACGGTTACCTGAATTTAAAACAAGTGGTAATAGACATTTACTTTATTTTCATTGCGCATGCGGGAACCTCGTTCCACAACAATGGTAAAACAAAACAGTAGAATCCTTTTTAGTTTACAAAATACCATATGTAAAATGTAAAAGGCCGCAATTTGTAAACCTACTACCACCCTGTCTAGTGGCGATTTGTCACGGATTGTGAAACGACCAAGGTTTGAATTGCCTAAAAAAGTAGTAATTATGTTATCAATATATCTTTGAAATCGTAAATATAGTGAAAGCTTCAAAAATAAATATTTCTACATCGCAATAAAATAAACTAACGTTTTTTTTGTTACTAGAAGCTGCGAAATGGATACATGGGATAAACAGAATATATCAAATATCAAATTTATTAAACTCGTTTAATGCATTTGGCAAGGAATAAATGAAAATTACTACACTCGTTTAGTAAATCTGATATTGTAGGGTCGATCGTGAGATATCCTCTCTCTATATATATATATATACAGAATGTGAGATAATTGAATTCTAAGTGGAAAACTGTATTCTCGTACCAGGTATGAAAATACACGGCAAAAAGTTTTTAAAAAATGCAGTGCAATTTGCAAATGTAGATTAGATAAATTTGACACAAGTGTTAAATCCATGAAATCCAAGACGTTGCAACTGCAACTATTATTAGATACATATAGATCAAGTTATTTAATGCAAAGCTGAAAAGTTCAACTTATCAAACATGTTAGAGGGCACTTTTTACGTGTCACCGCAACTTGATTTTTAACTCTTTTAGATAAAAATTCATCAACGACTCGATGGCACGAACACCGACAGACAAATATCTCTCACATACTTAACCCATCATTTTAACTTTACGGGCAAATATATTTTCAACCAGAGTGCGTCTTTAATTCACATTTCAGTTAGAAAGTGATGCAGATTTTGTTGCTGGAGTTCATTATTCCGCTCTTGGCATGTTGAATGATGAAGATAATCCAAAATATATCTATCGTTTTGACTACGAGTCAGAAAGTGCAAGATACGATGATTATGTTGGTGAGTAAAAAACAAGGCTCACTCACATATTCGATAATGTAGCTGTGATTTGTTTTATTCATTATTTGTCTGTTTTCATTGTTGATTGATTGATTGATTGATTGATTTTGTAGAGGTGCCACATTTGGAAGATTTGTTCTATTGTTTCGGAAGACCTCACAAAAGACCGCTTGTGGACATTCTTCCTGTTCCGGGATTTGTTAAAATATTGGAAAGACGTTGGACTGACACTGACAGGGTAATGGCTGACGTCAGTATGGCACTTTGGACGAATTTTGCTAAATATGGGTAAGACTACTATATATTATGTACTACATATTATGTTAAAAATATATTGTTCTACACTCCTACCACTGTCATGTTTTGTATCTTATAACATTTATAGGAACCCGACACCAGAGGGCCATAGTATACCCGGTATTAATGGAACGTGGGATAAGTACAAAGCTGGAAGTAAAGGCGTGTTCCATATCAACGAACAAAGTGCGATGAACTATGATTTCGACTTTCATGATGTTGGTTACTGGTACGACTATGGTGCTAAAGTTGTCGAGTCAGCTTCAAATCAGTGCTGTGACTGTCAGGCTGACCAGTCAGAACCAACCGTCTCCATCGGACACATATTAATTAAGAATTTGTTTTTGCTATGTTTATGTGTATTTCTTACCTTACGAATTATGTAAAAATACGAATTATACCTTCTAGGATGGTGTACATTTCCAAATTCATTGAATTTTCCCACATATGTTGTTATTTTTCTAGGAAAGCTCAAGAATGATTATATATGTGTCACCGTAACGCCGGAAGTTACAGTGCGCTTTAGTTTTGCGGTATTTTTCGGATTTAAGCCTCCGATCTGAATGGAACGTTTCGACGTCAGTCGTCCGTAGCCCATCGTCAAAGCAATAACGTCCCATTTACAAACAGATGAAATAATTTCAGCAATTTCTTTACAGAATAATCCTCAACAAAACTTAGAAACATTTCATAGACAAATACAGGCTCCAAAATTATGTCTATTGCAAAACAATTCAACCGACAACCAGTTTGACGCCACAATTTTTTGCTGGAGCCTGAGTTCTACGCGTGATTTTATTGCGTTCAAACTGTTCCATTTCAAACTGCGCATGTATGCTATCGGAAAGCATTTTGGCACAATTTTACTGAAAAGACGAGTTTTTCATTGCTCATGAATATTAATTTATGCAAATAAGACGATTATTTCAACCAATCGTGTCATGCAACTCCCCCCCCCCTGGCTGCCACCACAGTTTTACCGGACTCCACACAAAGAAGTTGGAAAGAAAAGGTGTATAATAATGAGGTTATTACGAGAATACCTCAAAGTATGCACTCAGACAGTACGCCGCTCATCGGCCTCCGCTGCGCGTCAGTCGATACTCCAGCTATACTGTCTTCGTGCACACTCCAAACATTTTGTTCAAACAAAGATTATATGCGTCATGACTGTTTACGAAATAAATAGGGTGATGTTCATAAATAAGAAAGCATCCGACAGAAAGTGTATTTAGGTGTATACATGTTACTTTTGTACGAGACCTATATTTCAAAGTGGAAGTACATTCATGTGTGAAGTTTAGCTAAAGGAAACCTTCTGCTTTCGCAAGTCAAAGTCTGTTTTACTTTATCAAAACTACTTACACAAGTCGTGCGAAATTGCGAGATTTAAATGAAGGGGAAAATGCGTGTGATACCGAATATTCGAAGTTTATACACAAGAGCGAAACAAAAATATTTCAAAATTACTGGGCGACACGAAGAGAACATCTTTGATAATGTTCTATCCTCGGGGCGGACATATGCAAATTACGGTGTGGCAGTGGTGAAAACACGAACGAGAGAAACGGAAGTGAGGGCGCCGCCAGTGTTTGGAGTGTGGTCTTCGTGCATATTTTTTAGGTATTCTCGTAATAACCTCATATTCATATAATTCATAGCTGTAACATTCAGTATGATGTATGTATATGAAATCACAGTACCACGTTTGTGTGCTCGTACAGTGTTCTGAAAAAAAAGGTAATGCGTAGTTTCCCCAGAGGATTACGGTGCAGCCCTTGGCTAACAGTCAAACACGTTGTCATCTATAGAGATTATGCAATCACGTGATGACTGACATCATACCGAATAATAACAATTACCCGTGAGGCAATGCCGCATTAATTGTAAGATGTATCTCATCTTATAATTCTATAAAAATTAAAGAAATATAATATATTAATTCTAAAAAAATTGTCTCAGAGCCTATACCTACTCGGATTTTAGTAATCAGATTAGATGTATCTATAGTCTACATCGGTGGTGAATGACAGAGTCCATGCAGACTAGGTGTGTTTTATAAGTGAGAATTGTTTCTGTGAATGCAGATAGGATAGAATACAGTATACTCCCTGGATAGAATAAATAGAAATAGGAAATAAATGTCAAAACAATTAGGCTGGTAGTTTTCAATAAGATTTCGAAAATCGATTCTAATTGTTGACGGTCGGAAACATGGTCAACGAACAGTCACGCGACTTGATCAGTCACACAACTTAAGGGATGATCACGACGTCTCAGGACGAAAGTACATTGTTAGAAATACTGTAAATGAGTGAGTCTGTAAAAACAAATATGAGCATATTGATTGATTTAACTGCAAATATATTTCAGTATCTCTTTTATCGGCATTATATGATTCCTTAAATTAAACAATCTATGATATCATCGGGAATTAGGAAAATAAAGATCGCTACAAACTCTGTGTAAATAAATGTATATATTGATAAAACATAAATAAATAATTGTATTACATATGTATTGTGGTATTCCTGATTGCAAGATTTCCCAATAAAATTAGTATTGCCTGTGATAAAATAGTCCCTTCTATAGTTGATTTTTTTTCTTCGCATTCGATAAACAACTCATATTGCCACGGGTCATTTTGATACTTCATTTAAATTGTTTAATGTCGTGATTACGAGTATTTAAATAATAAAATCTCCGGGATAATTTTGAGCGAAACTGTTGTTGAAAAAATCTTTAATTTTGTTCTCACTCACAAAATGTATACTATAGCTGTGATTATGTTTCTAGTTACTTACTTCACTTAAGTGTTTATATTGAAATAATATTTGATTATACCTGTGATCATTAAAAAGCGGGGCATTATTAGCTTCACTGCGATTGTCGTATGTCTCTATCGATGGACCATATCGTATGCCTTTACCCGAATAGCGACGACTATGAACAGTCATGAATTAGTTTTCGCGTATCTGTTGACCTACTTAATTAGTTGATTATTAGCTGAATTGCTGTGTTATGTCTGTCATCGTTTAGGCAGGCGAGGTCCTGGACGGAACTAGACTCAGTGATTTGGAACTAATTATGAGATAACCGTCGCTTTTCGGACTACTATTTCTGACAGTTGGTATTCGTAGTTATTAATGTAGTGAACGATTAATCAAAAGATATGACGTATTCAGTACTTAGTGTGATTGGCTTTATGAATGAAGTACGCCCTAAAGTCTTTTTACTACTTTGTATTGGTT